GAGGGCTCCCAGGGCAATTCCCTCCCAACTGTATCCCACTGTGCCTTATGGAATTCCTCACCTATTGTTGTGTGGAAATACCAGAAATAATTGAAACTAAAGCAGCTTGCATTCTCAGTCTCTGAGCCTGACTTAGAAACAAACGAGATATTGCAAAACTCTATGGAGTGTCCAGAGAGATGCTAAACCTCAAGACTGTTCAATCAATCTGACCAGGGAGTGGCAGCTCTCCAATGGCATGAACAGCTCAGAAGTGGTTACCCGTGATCCCACTGATGGGGCAGCCTCAAATAATTAAAACACCTTTAGAACTTTGGAAAGCTTTAATCAGACATTCTGAATCTTTGAATCAGTCTTTGTTTAGCAAGGGTACAAAGAATACACTACTTTCCTGTCATTTTCCCATAGCCAACATTCCCTTCCTGATTAAAAAAAATCTATCTCCAGCTTGAGCATTATTGATGACCCAGCCTCAACTCTGCAATGCAAACTTCCACAGATTCACTACCCTCTGAGGATTCTTCCTTGAAATGCAGACTGGGTGACTATTTTGTGAAACTCCTCTATTCTATCTGTTAAATTACCCTGAGATTCTAGTGTCCGCCGCTTCAACACACCACCAGGTTTCCAATGCCAACATTTCAGTATTAGGCCTGCTGCAGTGCTCCAGTGAAGCTCAGTGTAAGCTGGAGGAACAACACCTCATCTTCTGCCTAAGTACCTTACAGATACTGGGACTCAACATTGAGTTTAACAATTTCAGAGTATGAAAACCTTTCTACATGTTCATTACTTGCCCCGCCCAAACCCTCAGGTCATATCCTGTATGGGTTACACCCAGCACAGCCAACCCACATTCAACTATTCACACTTCCTGCCAGCACCCATTCAGCACTTACTTCTCTCCTGGTTCACTATCAACAATCCCTTTGTTTGCTTCCCTTTCTCTCGGCACTTTATTTGACATCTCCCTCCACCCCACGTTCATCATCACCATTTAACTTTCAGCTCTAATATGGGGTCACTGAACTCTAGATGTTAATGTTGTTTCTCTCTCCACAGATGCTGGCAGACCTGCTAGTTTCACCAATAAAATCTGTTTTTGCTATATTACTTCTACAGCTTCCCCTTTATCTCTTCTGCTTGTTACCTCTTCAAGTCTAGTAAATTTGTCAGTATCGTTTCCCCTTCATGAAGCTATATTGACTTTTTTTTCCTTTATTCATTCACGTGATGAGGATGTCGCTGGCTAGGCAGCATTTATTGCCCATCCCTGATTGCCCAGAGGGCAGTTAAGGATCAACCACATTGCTGAGAGTCTGGAGTCACATGTAGGCCAGACCAGGTAAGGATGGCAGTTTCCTTCCCTAAAGGACATGAACGAACCAAGTGGTTTTTTCCAACAATTGACAATGGATTCACAGTCATTATTAGACTCTTAATTCCAGATATTTTATTCAATTCAAATTCCACCATCTGCTGTGGCAGGATTCGGACCCAGGTTCCCAGAACATTATCTGGGTCCCTGGATTAACAGTCCAGCGATAATACCACTAGGCCAATGTCTCTCCAGCTTGATTAACTTCTGCATTTCTACATGCTCCTGCTACTATATCCTTTATAATAATACTCTTCCAATGACAAACGTTAAATTAATTGGCCCATAGTTACCTTTTTTCACATCTCCTTCCATTTTTGGTTTTCAGCCATCAATGCAATTAACAAACATGTTGAAATAGACCCCATTTACATACCACTAGGGTAAAAAAAATGGAAACAAGGCTGCTCACCGTGACAGACCGGACCATATAAATTCAGAGCGGGACAGAATAACAGCGCTTCAACAGAGGCTACACAGTACTGACGATATCACTTAGGGGGACAAAACGTTTGCATGAAAACCAGTCAACTCGGCGAACCAACAACTCCAACCATAACCCGAGCTACAGATCTTCATTAAAAGCAGGAAACTAAAGGCTAAATAGCTTAATATGTCATCAGTAAATTGCTAGAATCTATATTGTAGAAGGTAATAGCAGGATATATATTACAAAGAGCAGATTCAACATGGCTTTGAGAAAGGGAAATCATCTTCAACTAATTTATTGAAAACTTGTTAGAAGTAACAAGGTGGACAAAGAGAATCAGTAGATGCTATGTCTTTCAATGCTCAAGAGTCATTTGATAAGATGTTGGGATTATATATCTATATTTATGGATTATGTGAAGAATTGGAGGATATTGAACTGTTCAGATACTTTCTGGATAAAATAGTTTTATAAGGTCAACAGCCAAGCAATGTTTTTAAACAGATAACAGATGGAGTTTATTGCTGGGAAATACGAAGACATGAGGCACTGTACTGTTGGTTGCCTAGCAACCCTTTCAGGTCGTTTTCTGTTTCCAAAAGAAAAAAGGGAATCAGAACATAATCTTCAAAACTTGTAGTAAGGGGAAGTGTCTCTTTTCTGAAATTCTTTCTCAGTCAAAGTATTTAGAAATGAGATGAAGTTTCTACATCTTAGTATCTCAACTGTCTTGTAAACCCTGAAAAAAATGAACTGCGACCACTTCCCAAAGACTTGGGAACAATTGATATTTCTCTTTGAGCTATAGCTTGCCTAGAAGATTTTCCATCAACCTATGGTTGTCAACAATTCAGTTTCATGAACAAGAAACTCCCAGTGGCCTGAGAGAATTTAACAAATTCTACCCTTTAGTTTCAGATCATTCACCACAATCTACTTTTCTATTCATTTTTCCCCTTTGGAAATATCATCCCTGCAGAGTTGTACTGTCTATTGCATTGTGTGACTATGTTTGGAATTAAAGGGAATATGGTTCTAATTCTAGATAATTTAGTTGTTAATGAATTTTGCAACTTGCTTCTAGTGATGGACTTTTGTTTTATAATAAATTAATTATCTTTGAGTGCATTAAAGAACCCAACCAAAAGTATCTTATTGTGGATAGCAGTAACATAAGGGAAACTGTTAGGCATTTATACTAATGGTGTGAATAATGGACATTGCTCCCATCACAGTCATAACAAAGGAAACACATATTAGCATGAACAAAGGATTGTTTCGCTAAACAGAAAGCAGACAATAGAAATAAATGAGTCTTTAGCAGGTTCACAAGCTCTAACTAATGGAATACCACAGGGATCAGTGATGGGTCTTGACCGTTTACTATCTTTATCAATGATTTGAATTTAAGGACCAAATGTAACGTGGCTAAATTTGCAGACAATATCAAGATAGGGAGGAAAGTAAGTTGACAAGCAAGGTAAAAAATCTACAAAAGAATATGGATAGGTTAAGCGATTGGAGAAAAAATACTAGCAGATGGTGTAAATGTAAACTTTTCCACTTTGACGAAAAGAATAGAAAAGCAGGCTGCTATTTAAATGGTGAGATTGCCGAACTCAGCGGTATAAAGGATCTGGATGTCCTCCTATATGAATAACAAAATGTTAGTACACAGATACAGTAAATGGTTAGGAAAGCAAGTGGACTGTTGTTTTTAGCAAGGGAATTAAATATAAAAATAGGAAAGTTTCACTCCAGCTGTACAGGGCCTTGGTGCAACCACATCTGGAATAGTGTGTCAGTTCTGGTCTTATTTAAGGAAGGATATAATTGTTTTAGAAACAGTTCAGGTAAGGAAGGTTCAATTAACTTATTCCTGGAATGAAGGGCTTATATTATAAAAGGTTGAAGAAGAGCTTTGAAGAATGACATGCAATCACATTTAAAGATGCAAGCTCCCAAGAGGATAGGGTCAATACTGGCAGGATATTCCTTCTTGTCGAGAAGACCAAAACTAACAGACAGAGTTTAGGAATAAGTGGTCTTCCTTTTAAGACAGAGATTAGGATTAACTCCTTCTCTCAGAAAGCTGCTAGCCTTTGGAATTTGCTTCAGAGAGCGGTGGAAGCTGGTTAATTGAATTTATTCAAGGATGAGTGAGACAGCTTTTTGACAAGACTAGGGAATCAAAATTTATGGGGGCAGGGCCCAAACAGGAAAGTGGGGCCATGGCCATAATCAAATCAGCCATGATCTAATCAAATGGTAAAGCAAACCTGAAGGGCCGAGTGGGCTGCTCATCTCCGAGATCTAGCGTTTCATACTCACATTATGTCGCCATGACATAACTGAAGTTCTGAATTTTCATGATCTCATCAATGGCAGCTATGCCTTCAACTGTTGCAGCACCAAACTTTAAGATTTCCACATTAAAACTCTCCAACATTCCACCACTAACTTGTCCTTACAAACTACCACTTTACCAAGCTTTTTGTCACCCACTCTAACAGCTTGCTGTCAAATTTTGTTTGGTTATATCCCTGTGAAACATCTTGGAGTGATTTAAGGCACTGGGCGAATGTGAATTGGTGCTGCTGGAACATGATAACTCATACACCATTTTACCAACAAGGACCATCCAAAATCCCACATCCGTTCTTCACAAAAACACTTCAACTGGGAGCTGCTCACTGGGAGAAACAATAAGGATTAAAGATTGCAGAATCACCTTCTCATATTCTGCACAGCAGCAAGTCTCACTCCGAGATACCAAACACTTCACCAAGGAATCATCAAAGCGTGCACCACAAGGGGAGGTTTTCATTGGCATTTTGAAATAGGTTCCAATTCGTCCCACTCCACTTAAAAAATTTTCCTTTTCAGGATATCCAATGGCAAATCATTACAGAATGGGAAACAGGGAAACCGAGTGACATGGTGAAAAGAGGCAGGAGCAGGAATCAATGACAAATGATCCATCCATTTCCCTTCTGCTGTTCTGGAGAAGGCTGAAGATATGACTGATCCTGTTCTCTGCCAAGTAACCCACAGCAAATAACCTGCTGCTAAATATCTCTCTAGCATCAACAAACAACCCAACATAGCAAGTCATAGTTATGTTCACATTATGAATGGCAGTTAAACACAGAGCGAAATAAAAATATACTCCCAAGAAAGGTACAGCACAGGTCAGATATAGGGAGGTTTACTCTAATTTTTTAGGCTGGAAGTAAAGCTTCTTCTACACGTCCCCAATCAAACATTCCTAGTACAGGTACAGCATGGAACTAGATATTGAATGAAACTCTCTCTACATTGTCCCCATCAAATACTTCCCAGGACATAGGCAACACGGGGTCAGGTACAGCGTAAAGCTCCCTTTACACTGTCCCCATCAAACACTTCCCAGATACAGTATGGGGTTAGATATAGAGTAAAGCTGCTTTATGTTGAGTAGTGCCAATAATTCCGCATAAGTGCTACAGGCCAAACAAACCTCTTGAAGCAACTACTCTAGGACCTAGAGCTGTTTGGAAAAGATTCACGAAGATTGGAAATTCTTTTTCTGTTTCTGTTCCAAAACATGCCTTTTCTTGAAATTTACAGCAGAAAATGCAAACATTTTATTTTTTGTTTTAAAAAGTCCAACAGAAAGAGTCCTTGTTGCACAGCACAATTCAGGTAACACAAGGTGTTGAGTCTGCTGCTGAGTCTGTAAGGTGTGGGCTCTGAGGACAGCACAGTTAAAAGAGATGAAATTGCTTCTACCGATCGGGCCGCTGTAGGTAGAACACTTTTGCAGTTTGATCTCCAGAAGCAGTGACAACCGTGGATGCTTCCCTGTTGGGGAATAAACAAATCATTGATTTATATCCAAAAGAAACTGGGAATATAGGATCATGAATTAAAAGCAAGAATGCTGAGAATACACTACAGGCTCAAACAGCTTCTACAGAAGAGAGATTATTTAATGTAATGTGAGAAGGTAAAGCAGTGACAAATGGGAATTTAAAATGCGGGAGGTTGAGAGGTTTGTCATGTGGTATATGATAAATACAAATCAGAATATTTTCCAAATCTTCAAGGATTACGAGCAGCAGAGAAACTAGCGATTTTGCACAGCCTGGATGGATCCCATTTGGAGTAACTGCATTCAGTTGAGGGTATTACACATGAGAGTGGGTGTCCAGAGACTCCCCCAAGGCAATAACTATAAATCTGTCAATTTCTGCTTCAAATTTACTCCTACTCTCCACAGCTTTTTGGGAAGGTGAGTAACAGATTTCCAATCACTTTTGTTTAAGAATACATTAAGGGGTATATTAAGGGATTTACATCACAGTGTTTTAAGGTAAGGGTTGTCCCCTCACACCAGCTCCTGTCTAGAACTCACTGCCTGCATGTGCTGCTGCAGGGCTTCTTCTCAGGGCTCGCAGTCCACTTGCTGCGCCAGGGCTCACTGCTCATGGTATTCTGGGGCTCATACTGCGTTCCTGCAGGCCGCCAAGCGCAAGGCCACACTGCTCGCCCAGACCGCCAAGTGCAAGGCCACACTGCTCGCCCAGGCCGGCCGTGGCCCTCTGGCTCTAGCCGGCCGCGGGCCACGGCCCTCGGCCCATGTTTGTCCGGGTCTTGGCCTCCTCTAACAGTGTAGCACTCTCTCAATAACAGCAGTGCCAGCCTGGATTGACAACTTGAATTCTGGACCTGGGCTCGAACCTGTAATGTTTTGTCGGGATGATAAAGCTGGGTAGTTTTTATTTTAAATTTATTCTTGGGGTGTGGCAAAGGACATATTTATTTGTAAAAGATGATTTTATTTGATAAGGATGTTAAAAATCACAAGATTCTGAACAGAGCAGCAATAAGTTGTTCCCATTGTTCAAAGAATTGAGAACTAGAAGACGCCGACTTGGTTTTTTACAAAGTGCAGCATGGACATGATGAGCTAACTGCCCACCTTTTGTTTGTAACCACTTTCTAGTTTTAGAAATTGTGTTTTCACAAGAATCTAAAGCTTCATGATTACCTGATACCAGTTCAAACCAGATTTGTAAAAAAATACTAAGTGTTCAACTTCCCAATGGTAAATGTTGAATTTTCAGACTCTGGATTTACTGGCCCAGTAACAGAATAAAGTGTCAACTTTGGTGGACAAAGTTAATAAGGTGTCTGTACGTGTATATGTGCACGTACGTGCGCATGTGTGTATATGCTCGTGCATGCATGTGTAGGGTAAAAATGCTTTGAATCCTGGGACCACCAAGATGAATTGTATTCAATTTTTCCCAGCTTTTAGTGACTGAAGACAGAGACACTTACTTATTCACCATAAAATCCAGGATTTCTGCAGCATGGCCGCAGCATTCACCCTCCATCCTTCCTGACCTGGCGTCCCAGATGCGCACGGCCCCATCAAGGCTCCCTGTGTATATGATGGGTGAGTGGTCCTCCCACAGCAGCTGCACAATGCCAGCCTGAAAAATGGACAAACTGGTCAAAGAGCCCACTGACAAACCACCCAGACTATCAACAACATTAACCAAGTTCTCCTGCACGTGTGCATCCAGATATAAGGGCAGGACCCCCTTTCCAACTGTCTATCTGATGGTGAGAGGGGCCAAGCAGTGGGAGGTGCAGAGGGCGTGAGCCAGGGATGATGGGAAGAGGTGGGGTAGGTTGGGCGAGGGGTGCAGTAGAGGGCGGGTGGAAGAGAGTTCAAAATGGAAAGGGTTAGGGTTGATGGCGAGGGTGAGGGTAATGGAAGCAGAGAAAGGGTTAAGACAGGCTAGAGAGAGAGCGCAAGATGGTCAGCGACAAGAGACTGGCTAGGGCAACAAGCAAGACGGATGGTGACGAGTGACAGGGAAGGAGATTTGATTCGAATTATTGTAGTCACAAGCACAACAAAAAGCTTGGTTTTGCAAGCAGTACAGGCAGATCATAGGGTGCTTAAATACAGCGAGGCATACAAGGTTACGGCTGTGCAGGAGATGCATGAAACAAGATCAACGTTAGATTTGAAGTTAGACAGGTCTAATAATCAGTCTAATAACAGGGAAGAAGCTGCTCTTGAACTGGTTGGTGCGTGTGTTCAAGCTTCTGTAACTTCTGCCTAACGAGATGTTGGAAGAAAGTATTACCATGGTGGGAGGGGTCTTTGATGATGTTGGCAGCCTTTCTGCGGCAGGGAGAAGTGTAAATGGAGTCCATGGACACCAACTTCTGTAGTTTCTTCTGGTGCTGGGCAGAGCAGTTACCATATCCAGCCATTATGCACCCAGGTAGAATACTTTTAAAGGTACATCTGTAAAAATTGGTGAGGGTACTCATGGGCTTGCCGAATTTCCTTAGCCTCCTGAGGAAGAAGGGGCGTTGTTGTGCTTTTTTGACCGTTGCATCTACATGGGAGGACCAGGTCAGATTGTTGGTTATCATCACTCCTAGGAAACATGACACTCTCCACTCTCTCAACCTCAGCTCCATTGAAGTATACAGCAGCGTGTCCTCCTCCTTTCTTCCAACAGTCAAAGATTAGTTCTTTTGTTTTGCTGACATCGAGAGTTTGTTATCATTGCACCATGACACCAAGCACTCTACTTCTTTCCTATATTGGATGCATCATTGTTTGATATCCAGCCTACCATCATGGTGTCATCAGCCAACTTGTAGATGACGCTCATACAGAATTTGGTCACAAAGTTATGGGTGTACAGTAGGGGGCTGAGAATGCATCCTTGTGGGACTTCAGTATTGAGTGTTATCGTGGAGGAAGTGCTGTTGTCTATCTTCACTGATTGTGGTCTATGGATTAGGAAGCTGAGGATCGATTTGCATAGGGCGGAACCAAGACTTAGGCCTCGGAGCTTTGAGATTAGGATGGTAGGGATTATGGTGTTGAAGGTGAACATGTAGTCAGTCAATGAGTAGAAGCCTGACGTAGGTGTCCGTGTTATCCAGATGTTCCAGGGATCAGAGCAGGGCTAGGTAAATGGCGTCTGCTGTGGACCTGTTTCGCTGGTAGGCAAATTGTAGGGGATCGAGGCAGGGTGGGAGGCTGGAGCTGATGTGGACCATAACCAGCCTCTCAAAGCACTTAATGATTATGGAGGTCATGTTGAGGCCCATTGCATGTGCTTTCTTAGGTACTGGGATAACGGTGGTCTTCTTGAAGGAGGTGGGGACCTTGGCCTGTAGGAGGGAGAGGGTGAAGATATCGGTGAATACCTCCGCCAGCTGGTCCACACAGGATCTAAGTGCACGGCCAGGGACTCCGTCCAGGCCCATCGTTTTCCTCGGGTTGATGCCCAGGAAAGACCGATCTGACATCTGCAGCAGGGGCTATCGGGGCAGGTGACACCGCACCACTGGCATTCTGCTCGAACCAAGCATGGAAAGCATTGAGTGCATCAGGGAGGGATGTGTTTTTGTCCGCTATCTTGCTCCGCTCCATTTTGTATCCCATTATGTTGTGTAGGCCTAACCACAGGTGGCGGGCGTCCACATGGTTGGTTTGGGCCTCAAACTTGGTCAGGTACTGCCTCTTGGCATCTCTAATGGCTCTGTGGAGGTCATATGTGGATTTCCTGCATATGTCTGGGTCATCCAACTTGCCTGTCGCACGCCTGGTCTTCAGTAGGTAGTGGATTTCCTGGTTCATCCAAGGTTTCCAGTTGGGGAAACACACTGATTGATTTCTTTGGTACACAGTCCTCTACGCACTTGCTAATGAAGTCCGTGACGGTGGTGGTGCACTAGTCTAGTTATCCACTGAATTCCTGCATATGGTTCACTCCACTGATTCCAAGCAGTCCTGCAGAAGCTCTTCCGCTGCCTCAGACTAACCTTGTACTACTTTCTGTGAAGGATCCTCCCGTTTCAACTTCTGCTTGTAAGCTGGGGGGAGAAACAAAGCGTTGTGATCCGATTTTCCAGACTGTGGACGGGTCTGGAGCAATAAGTGAGAGGGAGGGGTTGAGCGGGAGGGAAGGAGATGAGAGTGTGCATGTTGAAGAGAGAGGTGGAGTGAGAAAGAGGGAACGGAATAGAGATGGAGGACAGGGGAGAGGAAGATCAAGTAAAGAATCCCAGGCTCAACACCGGGCTTGCTGGGAGCCTGACACTGAGCAATGCAGCATCTTAATTGCATCTCGAATCCCAAACTCAAGTTGTACGACACTGGGTAAAAGTCCGGGCCTGTCATCTGTGGTCTCAAGGTCAAGACATGGTCTGGTATCTCCCACAGGCTACCCAGGCACTGGCACCAGCCCAGAAACAGGAGCCTTCAAACAGGAAGACAAGGCCCATGAAGGAAAAGACGGTTGAAGTGTGGCCACCCGTAAGGATCTTTACCTGAAGCTGCCACTTGTGTCGAACCGTCTGCGATGGAATATCCCAGATCACCATGGTACCATCCAAAAATCCAACTGCAACCAAGGGAAGCCTGCAGGAGCCAAACAAGACACCAGTTCAAACTGAAAGAAATTTCCAGCATTGTTTTTCCCAAAACTGATATGTTCTCACTGGCAAGGCTAATATTTAGAACCCAACCCTTATCACCCTGGACAAGATGGGCATCTCGAACAGCTGCAGTCCTGTGTAATGAGGGTAATATTTGGGAATGTATTGAGGATTCTGTTACAAAGCAGCTCAGCAGCCTGAGCAGGCAGGAGCTGAATGGGTCAAGACTCATGACTTGAATACCAGCCAGTGAGCAGTAACTCTTGTTAGCACAGCGAACACATGGATAAGACCAGACTTGGCTGTGACAACCTGCATGTGGCCAAACAGCCGGGGTACAAATCTCTGCCTGGATTCAAGCAGGACTAATGCTCAAGCTGGGGGAGTTGCTGGGTCTTTAAACCCAGTTAAAAAACAGCACCTTCAAGAGATAAAGGAACTAGTCATTTCTCGGCCCCATATTTTGAGGGCCCATAGATTCCCAGGGATTATTTGACAATAGACAGACCCACATCTCATACAAAGAATACAAACACTGTATATACAAGAGCCCATCAATCTGACCACTATTTACTGTGGGAGCCATACAAAGACAAGGAAATATAAATAACCTCTTTGCTGACTGACCAGTACTTTAGATATTCCAGCAGTCTTATTAACAAAGGAAGCAGTCAGCCACTCCTTACAGAACAACCCAGCAAACATTGTCTATTAGCATCGACTTCTGCAGATACAAATATCCTTGACTCTAAGCCTTCTGATTTCCTACACTCAGAGTCCACACAGCTTAAACATTACACGGTTAACTATTTTCTGCCAGTGAGGGATTGACTCTAAAAAAGCTGAAATTCACACCTCAATAATATTGTAGTATCAAACCAAAGCAAACAATTTACTCATGGTCATGACTGAACTGATCACCAACAACTGATCAGTGGAGACAGTAAGAACTGCAGATGCTGGAGTCAGAGATAACACAGTGTGAAGCTGGGGGCACATAGCAGGCCAGGCAGCAGAGGAGCAGGAAAGTTGACGTTTCGGGTCAGGATCCTTTTTCAGAAAAATGATCAGTGGAACTGACTGTCCTACAGTCTATTGGCTAAGCCAAGTTTGCAAGGGTGATGATAACTGGATTCATAACTAATTCCTTGAGAGTTGACATCTACTGCAGCAAGTTGCAAACTGAAGTTCTGTAACTTGCTCCCTACGTGGGCTGTGTACAGTCAGAAATTGCATTGCAAATCACCAGATTAATGCAGAACTAGTTCAGTAAAGTCATTCAGGAATGGGAACTAGCCACTTCCACCCAGTTCAGTCTTTAAATGACTCCAATCCCACACTCCAAACTTTACTTGATGTTCTTGACTACACAATACCGATTAACTGACCAATGCTTTCACAGTCTGTTTTTACAAATTCACACAAACAGATGAATTAAGAGCAGGAATAGGCCACTCATTCTGTCAGGTCTGCTTCACCATTGAATAAAATGGCAGTGATCTGATTACAGCTACCACTGATCACCTATCACCACCTCCCTTATTAGAGGGAGGTGATAGTATTGTGGTAATGTCACCGGGATAGTAATCCAGAACCCTAGGCTAATGTCTGGAGATAGGAGTTCGAACTCCACCATGGGGATGGTGAAATTTGAATTGATAAAGTATGGAATTTTGAAAAAACCATGTAACAATTGCTGATTCTCATTTTAAAAAACACTGTCTGGTTCACTAATCAAAAAAAAAATAAAAAACAGGATGCGCTTTAAAAAGCACCTGAGGGGTAACTTTTTCTCAGAGTAGCGCATGTGTGGAATGAGCTGCCAGAGGTGGTAGAGGAGGTAGAGGAGGCTGCTATAATTACAACATTTAAAAGACATCTGGATGGATACATGAATAGGAAATGTTTAGAGACTAGGTCAGATTTGGTTGTCTGGCTAGCATGGACAAGTTGGACCGAAGGGTCTGTTTACATGCTGTATGACTCTAGAATTGCACATGCTGGAAATCTGAAACAAAAGCAGAAATTGCTGGGAACACTCAGCAGGTCTGGCAGCATCTGTGCAGAGAAAAACAGAGTTAACGTTTCTGTTTCAGAACTATTCTGAAGAAGGGTTTCTGGACCCAAAACATTAACTCTTCCGTTTCTCTCTCCACAGATGCTGCCAGACCTGCAAGGTTTTTCTGGCTTTGTTCCATCTGGCTCACTAATCTCCTACAGGGAAGAAAATCTGCCATCCTTACCAGATCTGGCACACACATGACTCCAGACCCACAACGTGATTGATCCTTAACTGCCCTCTGGGCAATAAATGATGGCCTGTTGCAAGAAAGAAAAAAATCTCTCTCTCTCTGCCTTAAAATATTCAAAAACTCTGCTTCCATTACTTTTTCAGGGAGTGAATTCCAAACACTCGAAACCCTCAGGAAAGAAAACAATAATTTTATCTTGGCTTTAAATGGGCGACACTTTATTTTAAATACTGACCCTAATTCCCATTCTCTCCAGGTCCACCCTGTCAAGACCCCCCGGGATGTTATATGCTTCAACCTTACCCCTCACTCCACTGAATATAAGCTGACCCTGTTTAAGTGTTTCGGATAAAACAACTCAAGTCCAGGTTCCAGGTATTAGTTCCAAGGAAGAGTCACTGGACCCAAAACGTTAACTCTTGACTTTTTCTTCACAGATGCTGCCAGACCTGCTGAGGTTTTTTAGCAACTTCTGTTTTTGTTTCAGGTATTAGTCTCTGAAACCGGCTCAGAACCGCTCCCAACCCTTTAACTTCCTTCCTTAAAGGACGAGACCAGAAACCATGCACAGTACTCCAGCTGCGGTTTCATTGGTGCCTTGTACAACTAAAGCAGAATCTCCATACTTCCGTACGCAACGGCCCTCACAATAACATTCTTCTAGCTTTCCTCATTTCTGGCTGTGCCGGCACACTAATCTTTTGTGATTCATGCTCTTGGATACCCCATTATTGGAATGTGAGCATCATTCGCAGGGCCAGTATTTGATGTGCACCCCCAACTCAGTGGCTTAGAACATAAGAACTAGCAGCAGGAGTAGGCCATTCAGCCCCTCAAGTCTGCTGCATCAATTAACAAGATCATGGCTGATCTGGGGCCTTGACTCTACCTGATGGCCTTGGACTTTGTCAGTGAAGAATTTACCTACCTCTGTCTTAAAAAGCTTCAATGACTCAGCATTCACTACTCTCTGGGGGAGACAGTCTCCTGAGTTTTTAACTCAAGCATCTTAATGACTAGTCCATTGACAAGGCCACTGTGTTACTAACACTCCCATCCACCCTGTTCACTAAGCGATCATCAGGTATGATATCAGACACGAGAAGATTAGACTTACACCCGACAAAATCCCACTGACTCGACAGAATTGGAGTTGGATTCCGTATCCTCCATCTGTTCTTTGTCCACACATTCCTTTGTGTTGTTTGGGACTGAAAAGACAGCAACCACCTATGTAGGAATATTCAATGAGTTAGCTTTCAGCTAATTGTGAACAATGACCAGAATAAGAAGTTGTGCATACACGGAGGAATATTGTGCTCACCACATGGCAAGTGTAGTGACAGGGAGGCATTACACTGAGTGGGTGTATGGAGGGTAGGAACACACCCACACCCTGATAATCAGTGGTGCGATGGTCTGTGGATAGCTTTCCCTTACCACTGCCAAAGGGTCCATGAAATGGGCAATTATTGCCCACTGAAAGGGCTCTTCCCACCAGAGCTGGTATGAACCTAGCAGTGGTAGGGGACTTCGCTAGGTGAACAGTCCGGAAAGGAGACATCGCTACTGAAAGCCATCCCCTTCCCTTTCTGCTGAGTGCCTGAACCCACGTCCCTATAACCCTCATCCCATGCCTCCCCCTTGTCGCCATGCAGCTGTGCTTGGGTGCCTCCTGAACCACAAGTAGGAATCACCAACTCTCACTGGCACTACCATTCAATGGGGCCAGGCTCCAAGAGCACAGACAAGCTAGAAAGTACAATACATGAAGCAAGAAGGAGAACTCTGGAATTCCCTCCCTCAAAGTCTCCAGCTTCACAGTCCTCCTTGAAAAAACATATCTTTCTCTCCTCAAAAAAAAGTATGTCATCCACATCATATTTGTATCATTGGCTAAGCATGTATTTTGTCCTTGCATCTCTCTGAAAAATAAAAGGATGTCTTAATATTAAACTGTACAAATATAAGTTGTCAGGACATATTAAAATTTAATATAGTGGCAAATTTAAGAATTCCAAACCATTTTAACAAGAATACCATCCACCCACAACACTGCCCATTAAGAACCATTGCACATTACACTGAGTTATGTTCAACATACAGCACAATAGGTCATTCAGCCCAATGGGCTCATGCTAGTATTTATGCTGAAGAAGATTGATCTCCCATTATGCTTCATCTCACCTTATTACTATATCATTCTACTTCTTTCTTCCTATGTGTTTACCCAGTTGCATTGATATATATTGATACTATTCACCTCCATTCTCCCTGTGTTCACAAGATCCACATCCTCCCAACACTGAGTGAAGAAATTCATCTCGAATTCCTTGTTGGTAAGCAGCAGTTTGATGGGCTCCAGCTTTAGTTTCCACACAAGTTGAAAAATTGATATAAATGATGAACAGCGATGGTCTCAGCACTACTTCACACCTTCCACCAGTGTCATTAACTATCTGAAACCTATTGCATTTTGAAACCAGTTTGCTATCCATTCTGCCCCATTCCACAAGTCAGCTTTGCTGCCTTATCAAAGACCTTTTTTAAAAACAAAGTCAAAACATATCATGATTTCTATGTAATGAATTGTACTAGCACATTTCTTCAAAGAGTTTATTCTGAGTGCTCTAATACAGCCTTTCCTTTTAGAATCAGTGTAGACTACTTTTTGTTGTATTTTTGGTTTCAAGAGTGTTCTTGATAATTCCAGTAATTTTCCAATCACTAATAGTGTCATCGAGGGTCTGTACTTCCATAGACTTGATGTGAACCCCTTCTTAAGCACCAGATTCACACAGAAGTTATGTGCCAGTCATCCAGCACTAATCCCTTTCAGAAAAGATAATTTTGTCCCACTTTTTCCATGATGTGGAAGTGCCAGTGTTGGACTATGGTGGTCAAGTCAGAAATGACAAAACACTAGGTTACAGTCCAGCAGTTTTATTTGAAATCACAAGCTGTCCAAGCACTGCTCCTTCATCAGATGAACTGGAGGGAAGCACACAGCCACTTCCCCTGACGAAGGAACTGTGCCCTAAAATCTTGTAATTTCAGATAAACCTATTGGACTATAAACTGGTGTCTTGTAACTTCTGACTTTGTTCATTTCTTCCTCAATTTCTTTAAATTTACTATTTAAAAGGAGATAGTAGTGGGGTGCTAATATCACTAGACTAGTAACCCAGACACCTAGATTTGTTTTAAACTAATGACTATGGAAGGAATTGTTGCACTTTTAATAACGAGTTTACGTTGGGTGGATGTTGGGAAGATGGTTCCATTGGTAGGAGACACTAGGACCCGAGTGCACAGCCTTAGAGTAAAGGGAAGACCTTTTAGAACTGAGATAAGGAGAAACTTCCTTAGCCAGAGAGTGGTGAATCTATGGAATTCACTACCACAGAAGGCTGTGGAGGCTAGGTCACTGAGTACATTCAAGACGGAGATAGATAGGCTCTTGATTGTCAACAGGATTAAGGGTTACGGGGAGCAAGCGGGAGAATGAGGTTGAGAAACTTATCAGCCCTGATTGAATGGCAGAGAAGACTCAATGGGCTGAATGGCCTAACTTCTGCTCCTACGTCCTATGGAGTCACTGGAGCTCATTGTGAGTTGTGTTTACACTGTTACTTTATTCAAACAGTAGAGGAAGAGATTTAAAACTTCACAGCACAGAGGGTATGTGTGTTCACCTTAAGCTTTGCCGAGCAGCAGATTGTTGACTGGTTTATAGATTGGGACCAGTTGTGGATGCCAGAAGCCGCCAGCATATTGACAACTTTCTGATTGGCTTCTGGGCAAGCAAATAGCTTGTGTGTTTACAACAGAGGGAGAAAAGACTCTAGACTGCAGAAAGGTGAAGATCTCTCTTTATCTTTCTCTCCAGAGAAGTAACTAAAGCCTAGAAAACAGTTACATATTCGTTCCTCCCTGTCACTGTAACTGAAAGACCTTACACTCAATAATAGTTCTGAGGAAGGGTCACCAGACCAGGAACCTTAACTCTGATTTTTTCCTTCACAGATGCTGCCTGACCTGCTGAGCTTTTCCAGCAATTTGTTTTTGTTCCTGATTTACAGCATCCGCAGTTCTTTCAGTTTATATTTACATTTAATATGTCTACCACTCTGTGTCTTTCGTAAAGGATTGAACGAATCTGAAAATAAGGAGATTAGTGAACAGAGGTCATGGAAAGCAAAATGGACAACTCAACGAATTCTGTAGACTGGTGCTATTGAACTGTGCTTCTTCAGTATTTTGTCCTCCAGACATAACATCAAGTTTATTGTATGTCTGTGTCTGTCTGTACGGGTTTTAGAAGGGGTTAGAGTTTGAGTGAGTAGAGTGAGTATATGTTGATAATTCACAATTTGGCTTGCCTGTGGTTGGAAATGATTAGCATAGAAGTATAAAAGTATAGAAACCTGATCGGTATTTTCTGTTAACCTGAGGAAAACTAGAGGCTGATTTTTTGATTAAATCTGTAACTTTTGTGATGAATGCGAGAGAAGTAGGGTTCGAGTAACAACACACTTTCCCTAAATGGGTCGTGAGAGGGTTCAAACCTGCAAGTGCAGCTTATTAAAAAATCTGAAAACGAAAGCTATTTTCAGCGACGGTGACCATGAAACTGGCATCGACTCCAGTAAAAACTGTCTGGTTCACTCATGCCCTTCAGTAGTAATATTACCTTGCCGGTGAGAGGATTGAGGAGTTTGGCTGTGCAGTCAACAGACCCTGTCAAGACCAGGCTCCCAGTGTCATTCACAGCGAGACAGGTTAGGGGGCCCTGGTGACCATCCTTCCCTGGAGACGGGCACAAACAAAGCACGAAAGTCATGACATATCTGGGAAACACTTCCATCTCAACCACATCCAGAGAATTGCAAAATCATGCACTTTATCAAAAAAAAGCATAAAATTAAGCCCAATAATTATAAACCGATCAGTTTGACTTTGGCAGTGAGGAAACCTCTAGAAATAATAACTCAGGATAGAAATAATTGTCGCAGGCACAAAAGCAGGCTAATTAAGTACAGCTAGCACCATATTATAACTAACTTGGAGTTTTTGAAGTGGTAACAGAGCAGGTTAACAAGGGTTATACTGTTAGTGTTCACTTGACGAAGTACCAGCGCTCTGAAAGCTTGTGATTTCAAATAAACCTGTGGGACTATAACCTGGTGTCGTGTGACTTCTGACCTTGTCCACCCCAGTCCAACACCGGGGCGTCCACATTATGGTTACCATCGACACAGTAAAAGGATCAAAAATGAGAGGGCGCAGATTTAAAATAATTTGCAAAAGAAACAAATGCAATGTGAAAAAAAAACACAAGTAGTTAGGGTCTGGAAAGCACAGACTGGAAGTGTGATGGAGGCATTCAAGAGGTCACTGTTTTTATTCAAATAATCATCCAATGTGTAGGATTACAGAGAAAGGCAAGAAAATGACACAAAGTCATAAATGCTCATTTAGAGGAGACTGAATGATTCAGAATATTGACAAAATTGCCATTTCAGTCAGAGTGGTTATTCTGTGCCTTGTTTTTAATGGCCACGTTAGATTTGTTTTACATTAATAATCAAGGTTTAAACCACAGAGCTGAGCTACTCAGTGGAGCTACTCTCTCCAGCCACATTATACCTTTCACCAGGTGAAGCTGCAATCCTTGTTTCAGATCCCAGATTCTTACTGTCCCATCTTCATAGCCAATGACTGCTCGGTAACCTAGGGAAACAAAACTGAAGGTTTAATACAGAATTTAGAATGGACGTTCTTCAGTCACGTTATACTCACACCGATGGATACACTGTTACCCAAGACAAGTCACAGAAATTCACTAAGGCTCCTTACTCAGCAAGGGCACCACATCCCCAAACATAACCCCCCACCATCAACACTCAGTAGCAGCAGTGTGTACTAGCTACAAGACGCACTGCAGAAATTCACTGAAGATCCTTAGACAGCAGCTTCCAAATCCACGACTACGTCCATCTAAAAGGACAAGGGCAGCAGATACAAGGGAGGGGAAAATCTAGTTGTCCTACTCCTTGGAGGTACCAATGATATAGGGAGAATCATAGAATTATAGAAGAATCATAGAATCCCTAGACTGGAAACAGGCCCTGCAGCCCAACAAGTCAATGCCAACTCTCAAAGCATCCCACCCAGACCCTTCCACCTATAACCCACCTAATCTACACATCCCTCAACACTACAGGCAATTTTCCATGGCCAATCCACTTAGCCTGCACATTTTTGGACTGTGGGAGGAAACCAGAGCACCCAGAGGAAACCCACACAGACACAGGGAGAATGTGCAAACTCCACCGAGTTTGCCCGAGGATGGAACTGAACACGGGCCCCTGGCGCTGTGAGGCAGCAGTGCTAACCACTGAGCCACTGTGATGCCTTGAAAGAAGACAGAGGTTCTGCTGAGGGAATATGAGCAGCTAGGGGCTAAATTAGAAAGCACAATCAAAAAGATGATAATCCTCAGACTACTAACTGGACAGGAGCAAATTGGCACAGGGTCAGCAAGATTAAAGAGTTAGACGTGTGGCTCAAAGATTGATGTAGGAGAACAGGTTAAAATTCATGGGACATTGACACCAGTACTGGAAAAGGTGGGAGCTGTTCTGATGGGACAGACTTCTGGCGAATCTCACATCCAGAGCTATAGATAGGGCTTTAAACTAAATTGTGGGATGGTGGGTTCAGTTGCTTGAAAAATTATAAAAATCAAGGGTATATGAGAAAGTAGGATTGCTGGTTAGTGAGGGGGTTGATTGAAATAAAAGCAAGGGACGGAATATGTAAATGTCACATTGTACCAAGGAACCACGAAAGTGTAGGGAAACTCGATAATAGAACAAACGTGAAGGCTTTGTATCATAATACATGAAGCACTCAGAATAAGATAGATGAACTCATGTCACAAGTCAAGGTAAGTCGAGGTCACAAAGACTTGAAACTAGTTGGTGGGGGAGAAGAGGGCTCAGGAGAGCTTATTAAAGATTCCAGAACAAGTAATAGGCCAGATTGTATGGAAAGGGTCAGAAATCTAATTTAAGGAGATAACAGAACAACTGTGAGAAGGGGGGGGCAATCAACACAGGACTGAGTGTGTTGTACTTAACTACACACAGTACATGTAACGAGGTAAATGAGCTTATCACACAGATTGAAATTGGCAGGTATAGTGCTGTGGGCTTTGCAGAGACGTGGCTGTAAGGGGATCAGGCCTGGGAACTAAATATCCAAGGATAAACATTCTATCAAATGACGTGTGGGGGATGGTGTGGGGGCGGGGGGGTGGTGAAGGTTGCTTTGTTAGTAAGAAATGAAATTGAATCAATAGAAAGAAGCAACATAGGGTCGGGAAATGTAGAACCTGTGTGGGTAGAGTTGAGAAACCGCAAAGGGAAAAAACAAACTCTAATGGGAGTTATGTACACGCCTCCTAGCGGTAGTCAAGTTGTAGAGAAGAAAATAAATCAGGAGATAGAAAAGGTATGTAAGAAATGCATGACTACAATAATCTTGGGGGCTTCAATATGTAGGTGGACAGGGAAAATCAGGTTGGCAGCAGATTCCAAGGAAAGGAACTGTTGGAATGTCAATGAGATGGAGCAGTTTGTGATACACCCACTGGGAAACAGGCAATTCTGTATTTGATGGTGTGTTATGAGACAGATTTAATTAGTGAACTTAAAGTGAAGGAACCGCTAGGGTGCAGTGACCATAATATGACAGAATTCACCCTACAGTTTGAGAGGGACAAGCTGTAATCAGATGTAATGGTATTACAGTTGAGTAAAGCTAACTACAAAGGAATGAGGGAGGGGCTGACCAGAGTTGATTGGGAGAGGAATCTAGCAGGGAAGATGGCAAAGACCTCAAAAATCATTGGTCAGACCACATTTAGAGTATTGTGTTCAAGGGGAGGCAATGCCGAGTGATATTATCACTAGACTGTTAATCCAGAGAACCATGTGATCTTCTGAGGACCCAGGTTCGAATCCCACCACGACAGTTGGTGGAATTTGAATTTTATAAACATCTGGAATTGATAGTCTAATGATGACCATGAATTTATTGTCAATAGTTGGACAAGCCCATCTGGTTCACTAATGTTCTTTAGGGAAGGAAACCTGTCATCCTTATCTGGTCTGGCCTACATGTGACTCCAGACCCACAGCAATGTGGCTGACTCTGAACTGCTCTCTGGGTAATAAACACCCTCATCGTGTGAATGAACTTTGAAAAAGTTCTAGGCACCTTATTTGAGAAGGACGTTAATGCCCTGGTGAGATCACTAGAATGATGCCAGGAATGAGGGATTTTAGATACAAGGTAAGATTGGAGAAATTGGGCTTATTCTCCTTAGAACAGAGAAGATTAAGAGGTGACCTGATTTTGACAAGGTAAAGAAGGACATGTTGTTTCCACTAGTTGGTATGTCAGGAACTAGGGGATCACAATTTCAAGATTGTCAGCAAGAGAGCTAGGATTGAGAAGAGGAGAAACTTCTTTACTTCGAGAGTTGTTAGGATTTAGACTGCGCTGCCTGGGAGAGTGGTGGAGGCAGCGTCCATAGGAGGTTTCGAAAGGGAGCCAGATATATATTTGAAAGCGATGAAGTTAGAGGGCTACGGTGATGGGGCTGGAGAGTGGGACTAGCTGAGTAGCCTTTGGAAGCCGTTATAGACACAATGGGTCAAATATCCTCTTTCTGTACTGTAAAATTCTAGGATTCTGTGGTGGCGCAGCAATGGCAGGAGTTTCTAAGAGTAATTCGGGAGATTCGGCAGAAAATCATCCCAAAGAGGAGGAAACATACTAAGGAGAGGATGAGGCAACTGCGGCTGACAAGGGGAGTCAGGGACAGCATAAAAGCAAAAGAAGAATGTGAAGATTAATGGGAAGCCTTTAAAAACCAGCACAGGATAACTAAAAATGCAATAAGGTGGGAGATGAAATCAGGGTAAGTTAGCTACCAAGATAAGAGGAGATTGCAAGAGTTATTTTTAGATATATTAATAGACAGAGGCAAAAACGGACATTGGACCACTGGAAAATGAGGCTGGAGGAGTAGTAATGGGGAATGAAGAAATGGTGCAGGAATTGAATAGGTATTTTGCATTAGTCTTCACAGTGGAAGACACAAGTAGCAGACCAGAACTACAAGAGAGTCGGGGGCAGACCTGACTGTAGTGGCTATCACTAAGGAGAAGCTGGTGGGTAAGAGGAAAGGTCTGAAGGGGGATAAGTCACCTAGACCAGATGGACTATACCCCAGGGTTCTGAAGGAAATAGCTGAGGGGATAATGGAGGCATTGGCAGAGAGCTTTCAGGAATCACTGGAGTCAGGGAGGATCCCAGAGGACTGGGAAATGGCTAATGTAACACCCTGTTTAAAATGGGAGGGAGGCAGAAGACAAAACTATAGGCCAGTTAGCCTGACTTCAGTCATGGATAAGATTTATGGTGCATTATCAAGGATGAAGTTGGAAGTGCATTGTAAAATAGGGCTGAGTCAGCATGGCTTTGTCAAGGGAAGGTCATGCCTGACAAATCTGTTAGAATTGTTTGAGGAACTAACAAGCTAGTTGGACAAAGGAGAGTTACTGGATGTAAACTTTGTGAATTTCCAGAAGGCCTTTGACAAGGTGCCACACAGAAGGCTGCTAAATAAGAGCCCATAATATTGGGAGCAAGGTATGGGCATGGATGGAGGATTATCTTACTGGCAGAATGCAGAGATAGCGATGGCAGCTATGACTAGTGGAGTTTCGCACTGTTCCATGTTGGGACCACAACTATTCATGTAATACGTTAACGATCAGGACAAAGGAACTGAGGGCATTGTTGCTAAGTTTGCAGATGACACCATAATAAGTCAATGCTGAGAAGGCAGGAGGCTGCAGGAGGACTTGGACAGCCTAGGAGAGTGGGCAAAGAAGTGGTAGATGGAATACAACATGGGAAAGTATGAAGTTACGCACTTTGCTAGGGAAAACAGAGATGCAGACTACTTTTTAAACAGAAAAAAATTTTGGAAATCTGAAGCACAAAGGGATTGGGAGCTCTAGTTCAGGATTCTCTAAAGGTTAACATGCACGTTCAATTGGCAGTTAGAAAGGCAAATGCAATGTTAGCATTCATTTCAAAAGGTCTAGAATACAAGAGCAGCGATGTACTGCTGATGCTGCATGAGGTTCTGATCAGACTGCATTTGGAATATTGTGAGTAGTTTTGTTCCCTGTATCTAAACGAGTCTGTATCTCTGTTGGAGGAGGTCAAGAGGAGGTTTACAAGAATTATCCCAGGGATGAAGAGCTTGTCATATGAAGAGCAGTTAAGGACTCTGGGTCTGTACTCAAAGTTTAGAAGGATGAGCGGGCTGGGGGTGGGTGGAGGAGGGGGGGAGCTCTGATTGAAACTTACAGAAGGCCTGGATAGAGTGGACATGGAGATGATGTTTCCACTAGTAGCAGAGACTAAGACCCGAGGGCACGACCTCAGAGTGAAGGTACGATGCTCTAGAGCTGAGATGAGGAGGAATTTCTACAGCCAGTGTGGTGAATCTGCAGAGCTTATTGTCACAGAGGGCTGTGGAGACCAAGTCATAAATATACTCCATGAGAGAGATAGATAGGTTTTTGATAAGCAAGGGAGAATGCGGTTGAGAAACATATCAGCCATGATCGAATGGCAGCACAAACTCAATGGTCTGAATAGCCTAATTCTGCTCTTATATTTTATGATCAGTGGTCTTTTGATATGGGATGTGGGCAGGACAGTGGTGCTGGGGCAAATGATCAGTCGTCACAACATGGACTGGTGTAGCAGGGTCATTGTTCCCATCTCTTATAATCATATCAATCTCTTCTTCCTGGGAGAAAACGCTTACCCCAGGATTATGTACAAAATCACCAACCCCAACATCAAGTACACTAAAATGAAACACACCCCATTTCCAACCCAACAATGTTCCAACCAAACTTCCTCTCACCATCAGGGAGGATCTTGCCACAGGTCGCTTGGCATCCAGAGCCTGAAAGGGTTTTGCATTCCCCACTGGGGATTTTCCACATCCAACAGCTGCCTTCATCTGTGCCAGCCAGCAGCACATGGGCACAAGGGTGCCACTCTACCCACTGTGCACACAGAAAACAAGAGATCACAAACTGTCAGTCAAATAAAACTCTGCTTCATTCACTACAATGCAGCCAAAAACAGTAAAATAATTCCTTTGTCATTTACTGAACTGTTCCCACCAGTACCTGTATGCCAGTTTTGGACAGTGAGCTCCACGATAGGGACAGCCAAGGAGTTAGATACAGAGTAAAGCTCCCTCTACACTGTCCTCATCAAACACTCGCAGAACAAGGACAGCACAGGGTTAGATACACAGTAAAGCTCCTTCTTCACTGTCCCCCATCAAACACTCCTGGGACAGGGAAAGTAGGGAGTGAGGTACAGAGTAAAGCTCCCTCTATGTACTATCATTGCTCTGGGACATGCTTGGACATATGGTTGAGGTGGTCACGTCACTCGGTCCTTTCCTGTGGGTCATACATTCCGTGCCTGTAGCTGGAGAAACAGGTTTATGTCAGGGTCTGCTGGTTCGCTGCTGTCACCAGGGTCACTGTTCTCACCTGGAGATCACCTACTTCAAATGACCAGATTTCTTCCTTGGTTTCAACTTTCCAGACTTTGATCAGCCCACTCATGTCTCCCGTGACAACCAGAGCAGAGTCATGACTGAAGGAGGCTGAGATGACAGAATCTTTGTGGCCTAGAGGAGAGAAAAATGAAGCCCAGGTCAGCAGGCATCACATCAAACTCTTAGCTGACACTCAGAGGTGTCTTTCACTCTATTCAGTGGCTGTACTGCTTGCTGCAGGAACCTGGTCAGCTAGAACAGCTATTCAGTACTGGGCTGGGTGATTATCAAGTTGAGTTACATACAGTTTCACGTTGAGAACCCCAAGCGTTTGCGGGTTGCACTGGGCTCTTCCAAGGAGGAATTATCCCAGCCTCATTGAATTCCATTCCAGACACAAACAGTAAATAGCAGGGAATCTGAGATTACAGCAGCTGGGAAAGGTGCAGGTAGCAGTACAGCACATTTAGGCAAATCACTCATCTTGATTTCCAATTAAAAAGATGCAAACTGCATAACGTAGAAGAGACACAAAGCTGTGTGGGAGGGTGAACCTTGAGAAGGATGCACAGATACTTCTATGTGAATTGGATAAGTTCCGTGAGAGGGCAATCACATGGCAGATGAGGTATGTGGGTAAATGTGAGGTTAATACAGCGTGGAGCTGGATGAACATAGCAGGTCAGGCAGCATAAGAGGAGCAGGAAAAAAAAAAAAGAAAAATCGACGTTTCGGGTTTGCACCCTTCATCAGGACTGGAGAGGGTGATGGGAGGTAGGGCTGGGGGAAGGTAGGTGGGATGGTGATAGGTGGATGCAGGCAAGGTTATCCAATTTGGTCGCAAAAACAAGGCAGCAAATTATTCTCTGAACAGTGATCGATTGGGAAAGGGGGAGGCACAATGAGACCTGGCTGTCCTTGTACACCAGTCGCTGGAAGTGAGCATGCAGATGCAGCAGGCAGCAAAGGAAACAAATAAATGAACATTGTCTTTTATAGGCCTCTTTAGTTTCCAATCATCCCAAAATCTCTCCAACATAAAAAGCAAAAAATCATTAAAATCTCAACTCTCCTCAAACTGTCTAATGCCTCACATCTACGAGTTAAATTTAAAATACTTAAAAGGATTAAATTAGCTGACTAAATCATATATTCTGACTAAAGAAAGCTAAAATCTCAATCATTTAGAAGAAGCTGGGCAGGTCTTCACCCGTCCCTGTTTCTAGGCAATTACAACTACGAGCAGTCACAGAATCATTGCGGTTAATTTGAGCGCAGTCGGTCTTAAAGGACAAACATTAATGAGATGAGAAATTGTTCAAATTATTCCATTCTATGTTTCAAACTTCTCCTACACAATTTAAGTTAGACAACCTTCCAATACTTTCAATAAAAGCACAGGGTGCTCTAATGATAAATTCATAATTAATAGGAGCAGGAGTTTGGGGGAGGATGTTGGTATAATTGTAATAATCACCAGTCTAATAGTCCAAAGTGGCAGCTGGTGAAACTTCAATTAATAAATCTGGAATTGAAAACTAGACTTATTTCATTTTTAGTCATTCAATTTCCAAACCGGAAAGCAGGACTCTTATCAGTCTTCCACACTTATTTACATTTCATCGTTCAATACAAATTTTAGTCTGCTCTCTCTCCTTTATTCCCAACTCCTCTTAATACAGAAAATCAGTCCACATATATCAATTAGCACATACTCCAATCATCAGTAACTGCTCTATTACCTCTGGAGTATGTCCATTCTTAAAAAGGAATTACATTTAAAATCTCAGTGTTAGAGACGATGAAACTTCTGACAGCGCAGCGCTTCCTCAGTGCTGGCCCTCCGACTGCATGGCATTCCCACAGCACTAAGCCTCTGACAGTGCATCACTCCCTCAATACTGACCGTCTGACATGCGCAGCGCTCCCTCAGTACTCTCTCTGGAAATGAACAGCACCCTTGTAGAGGTGAGAGGTCTGAACCTGTTTAGAATACTTACCTGTACATTCTAGCAGCACCTCGCCATCAGCCAATCTCCACACAAAGGCTGTATCATCCTCACCACCAGTCACTGCCAGTGAATTACTCTTCGGGTCCAAACTCAAGCAGAATACTGCCTCTGGAAATAACAAGGATGTATGCTTTAACATTAGCTCATTTTAAGCCTACCCTCTCCTCCCATCAATTCTCCAATCTCTGGAGCGTAGCACCACAGGGGTCTCCAGTCAACCCAAATGAGAAATTTGCCTCATGAATTATTCCTCCCAAACAGCACAAGTGCTCAGTGGGATTCTGGTTCATCAGATTCAGCCCTCATTCAGCATCCAACAGGCTCTTGAGTAGCCACCAGATCACAAATATGAGCAGGAATTCTACTGGATTATCCAAGGAGAACAGAGGAAATGGTGCAAAATGCAGCCTACCAACAAAACCGAATAAAACCAAAACACCGTAGATGCTGGAAATCTGAAGAAAAAATAAAACTCTGGAAAAACTCAACAGGTTGGGCAGCATCTGAGGAGAGAGAACCAGAGTTAACATTGAGTCTGACATGACTGCTTCAGAACCTGGAGAAACTCGATATCCTGTAGAGTTAGATTCACCTGATAAACATGCCAGAGGTCCTCAAAAATTTGACTGAGATAATGTCTGCATTGCCTCCACCCAACTCCACCCTGCAGTACCCACCCAAGTAAGCAGCTCTATGTCCCACATAAAACTTTTCAGTTACTTGTGTGCCTGGAGAAAGTCAGATCGCTGTCATCTCGTACCACCTCCATGTTCTCATCATCTTCGGTCTCCCATTCCCCATCGTCATCATCTTCTTCTTCCACATCATTCAGTAGGTCATCTGGCCAGAGACATGGAGATGAAAAGGTCAGAAGATTGATTCATATCTTAGCACATCTCAGTCTGTAGGTCTGAGCCAATCCTTTCCAGGAATCAGAGGGGCAACCATCAACAGAGACATCATGATGCAGTGGTAACGTGACTGGACTAGTCACCCTGAACCCCAGGACAATGTTCTGGGGACATGGGTTTGAATCATACTGTGGCAGATGGTGACATTTGAATTCGATAACAAAAACCTGAAACAAAGAGCTGCCCTAATGGCGACCGTGAAACCACTGTGGATCGATATAAAAACATCGGGTTCACCAATGTTCTTTAGGGAGGGAAACCTGCTGTCCTTGACATCTACCTATAGTGACTCCAGGCCCAACACTCTGCCCTCTGGGCAATTTGGGTAGGCAATAAATGTTGGCCCAGTTGGTGACGCCCCAAATTCCATGGACAATTTTTTTTTAAAACCCACTGCTGTGGTAGGTGTGGGTGTATCTGCACCACAAAGAAGTGGCTCAAGTGATGGTTCTTGTGATCACCCTGACAGGTGACATGACATTGAACTAGCCCTAAGGTTTTGGAGTAGATTTGTAGCTCGGGCTGTGGGTGTTGAGGTTGGTTGGCTCGCCGAGCTAGTTTGTTGTTCCGCAGACATTTCGTTACCGTGCTTGGTAACATCCTCAGTGCAGCCTCTGCTGAAGCGTCGGTGTGTTTTCCTGCCTGGCTTTTAAACTCTGGGGTCCGTTGCGATGGATTGCCTCACTTCCGGGTTTCCTCCGTAGTGGTAATGGTAACAAAACACCTGCGGAACAACAAACCAGCTCAGCGAGCCAACCAACCTCAACATTGAATTAGTCCTTCTAGTACATCACATTTGCAAACACCTAGAAGGAGAATGCATGATTTTGAGCACAATCAAGTCATGACACAGTGCTGTTGCACTGTCATAATGAGAAGCTCCTGGGTTCAAGCCCCACATTCAGGTAGCGCTGAGCAGAACAGTACATCAGACTCCCCAAGCACGCCACTTACTCTCTCCTCCTCACTGCTGCCCCCATAGCCCTAGCACTTTCCATTACACCCAGAGTACATTCCCCACTAGAATCCACCATGCACTCAGATCCTAGCACCTCTTCTGCATAGTCTCTCACTTGTATATCACAGCCACATGTTGACACCTATCTCCCCCCGTACGTTTCCCCCCTCCCCCTCACTCCCATACGTTCACCCCCAACCCCCCCTTACATTTACGCCTGCCCCCTATGTTCAAACCCTCCCCCTTATGCTTCCCTCTACCCACATATTCCTCCCTCCTGCCCCTCTGTACGTTCATCCCCCTTAGCCCCTATACACTTCCACCACCACTCAATAGGTTCACCCCC